GGTTGCTGAGTGTGACAGGTGCATTGTGGGTCAGATGGCCTGGGCAAGTGAAAGGCCTCTATTACATTCTGCATCAGGAAATGAAAAGGTGTCTCTGGGGAACTGAAAATTGTGTGGCCAGAGCACACTGTCTTCATGCCATTAGGCAAAGAAGTCTGAATCAAAAACAGCTTGTGAGAGAACAGACGTCTCTGGTCTCCTCTCAGGCTTTGCCCTTGACCTTGCTTTGATTAGCCTCGGAATTTACAGCTGCTTTAATTAGGGGACCCCAGTGGAGAGATTTGGAACCAGAACCAAAGGCAAGGGACTTTCCCCACTCATCACCTTTCAGAAACATTTGTGACCTGGTGTGGAGCTGAGCCGTCTTTGGCCATTCGTTCTTGTTAGGTGACTTTAACATTGCTAATATGATGCAATGAATTGAAGTGCAGAAGTCATTTCTGAGTTTTCTGATAATAGTTGCAGTAAAGTCTGGCATGAAGCTGTATTTCCCCATGAGTAGTTTAGATGTATCAGTACCTGAGGGAGAGACATGAAACTTCATTTGAGGAAGTGTGACCTCTGAGGCAACATCTTTTTTCAAATGCCACACAGGCACCAGGAGAGGTAGTAGTACAGTGGTATAATAGTGTAGTCTTTGGAGGCTCATCTCTGAAGACGCGTCCCTGGGGTTCCTGTCCAGTGGAACCATATTTTTCTTGGTGCTCTGAGATTCTTGAATGCTGGAGCCTGTTCTTTGACCTCCCTATGTCCTCACATCGATGTAACATTTACTGTGGCTCAAGCACTGTTCTAAGGGAGTTAGATCTATTAACTTAGGTTTATAAACCACTGACCACTGTTAACAAATGGACCCAAGATGCATAAGAAGTGTGTGCATTGTGTTTCTTTGCATCCATGAAAAGCAACAAATATATGTAACATAATAACACTTTTTGCCTCTTTCTCTCCATCTGTCTGCTTATCTGTCTGTCAGTCAGTCTCTCTCTCTCTCTCTCTCTCTCTCTCTCTCTCTCTCTCTCTCTGTGTGTGTGTGTGGGTTTGTGTGTGTGTGTGTGTCAAGGAGAGGAAACAGAAAGATGGCCAAGAAAATGGTGTGTAAGTTATTTCTGGTTTGATGAACTGATGGACTATGGTGGAAACAGGAGAATTTTCTCTTCATGTAATTTGCTCTCTTTGAATTATGTTTTTTTTTGTGTGTGTGTGTTGTGTGCATATGTGTGTGGTATATGAATATACTTGTGTAGGTGTGTGCACATAGTCATGTTGGTGTACATGTACATGTATGGAGGTGGCATTCAGTATTGGGTGTCTTCTTCCATCACTATCCATCTTAGTTTTTGAGGCAGGGTTTCTCACTGAATCTGAGGCTCACTGATTTGGGTAGAATAGTCCTGACAACATGCTCCAGGGATCTGCCTGTCTCTGCCCATAATCCCACTAGGCTCAGCTTTTATGGGTGCTGAGGATCAAAATCAGGTCCTCATACTTGTGCAGTGGGTATTTTATTGACTGAGCCTTGGCCCTGGAACTAATTTTAACCATGTGGGAACTATTTTTATTTCAATAAAGTCACTACATTTGTTTTGAAATGGAACAAGGTGATATCTCTATAGGTCAAGATGACTTTATGGATGAGACTTGGGTTGAATCCTAAAGAGAGAAAGCCCAATGTAATATTGTACATTGAACAGCATAGGAGGAAGATGGAGTAGGTGGGATTGATGGAGAGAAGGAAGTGAAAAAAGAGGGTGGGGGAAGAGGAGGAGGTAAGGAAAGAGAAAAACAATTGCTGGCAATAGCAGTTGAAATTTGCCAGTGTCAAATTAAAACCAGAAGTGAGACTGCACCTGTAACTTACTGTATGTGTGATTTTAATCCTAAGATTTTGCCACTCAATAAGACAGGTAGAGCCCATTCTCCCAGAATCCATTTTATTCTACAAATAAAAATGTATATGATATTTATTATTGTCCTCTGTTGGGATATTGACCATTACATAGTCCATAAACATATGTAGCAGGAAGTGGCTGTGTTGGGAATGTGAGAGTCAAATCTAGGAAACTCCCACTCCCAATAAAGATAACACATACACTCAAAACTCTACCAAGTGCACCCAACCTTTGGACACTGTGACACAACATTGCCATCTCTAAAGTTTAGAGAACAACATCTGAGAACTACACAATCAAGTTTAGAAATTGGGAAAGTATGCCATCATGTTTTAAGTAAGTTTCCAGTTTTGTATTGGAAAGCATTTATAGCTATCCTTAACTACATGATGCCACATGTTGCCATGGGCACAAGTTGAGCATGCTTATAGGCACAAATGCTGCAGGGGGATGGGGTTTCAGAGAAGAAAAATCAGGCACTAGGGAAATGTCTGGAGATCTACAAAGATGACACCAGCTAACAAACTAAGCAACAAAGGAGAGACTGCCTTAAATGCCCTCCCCTGATAATGACATTGATGACTAACTTATATGCCACCCGATAGACCTCATCCAGCAGCTGGTGGAAGTAGAAACAGACACCCACAACTAATCACTGAACTGAACTGGAATCCATATGCTGAGAAGGATGAGGCAAGAGCAAAGGGGTCCAGACCAGAAACCCACAGAAACAGCTGACCTGAACATCGGGGAACTTTTGCTCCTCAGACTGATAGCTGGGATTCCAGTATGGGACTGAACCAGACCCCAGGAACATGGGTTTCAGTACTTATCCCTAGCATAGGTGTGGACTTTGAGAGTCCATTCCACATAGAGGAAGACTCCCTGAGCCAAGACACATGGGGGTGGGCCCAGGTCCTATCCCAAAGGATATGATAGACTCTGATGACATCCTATGGAAGGCCTCACCACCCTGTGGGAGCAGAAAGGATATGTGATAGGTAGGATTTTAGTTGGGGGGTGGTGGTAGGGGAGGACAGGAGGGAGAAGGGAACTGGGATTGTCATGTAAAACAATTTTGTTTCTAATTCAAATTAAAAAAAAAATCTGAGAAAAAAAAAGGACTCTGTTAGCCAGGAGCAATTAGGGTATTTAAGGGTTCTGTTGCAATGTGGTTTGGGGAGAGCGAAAAGAAGGCTAGCCCATGGGGAGAGTCAATTAATCATTGAGACAAGGCTGTGGTTAGGGAACCAATAGTTGCTTGTAACATAGGGTTCTGGGATGAGAGTGCAGGAAGACATGCTGTGAGGATGGGAGAGTCAGTATTCAAGGTCTTGGACTCCATTTTATGTCAGCTGAGGGAAGCTACTTGTCCCAAGCTGCAGTGGAGCAGAGGGAGAGACGACAAAGGGGAGGATGGGAAGGCATTTGGAGGTTGAGGGCTATAGTCCAGCTGATGAGGATTGTCATAACCTGGGAAGGAATAAAAGGGATAGCTATTCAAGATAATTGGTCAAGGGGTAGAGAGAAGTGGCTATGGCCTGGGTGATGGAGACAGAAAGCAGCTAGTGCCATCTGAGCCTGGCTGTTCAGGAACACAGGTCTGGGCTGAATACATCTAGTGGTAACAGCATAAAGAAAGATGAGCCAACATAGATTTGGGCCTTGTACACTGTCTACACAAGTTTAAGACTGGAGTGGGGATAGATGTGGGAAGAGATGGTGGAGTAAACTGTATCACGGAGAGTTGGAATCCAGAGAGGTTTTTTTTTAACAATTAGAGGACTTTTTGTTTGTTTGTTTTTTGTTTGTTTGTTTTGGGTATTTTTAGGAAGATGAGAAAGCAAAGTCAGGTAGAGGGGCTGGGCAGGTGGCGATTGATAAAATGCTTGCACATTATCATGAGCACCTGAGTTTTTAATCCCCTGCATCCCCTGGAAAGCTTTCAGGGGGCTATCTAATCTCAGGAAGCAGTGAAGTGGACTATTTGTTTATACTGCAAAGGCACGTCTCTGTCTAAGGCAACTTCTGATTGGTTTAATAAAGAGCTAAATGGCCAATAGCTATGCAGGAGAGAATAGGTGGGACTTCCAGGCAGAGAGACTGAGAGGAGGAATCTAGGTGCTAGGTGCACAGTTTTGCAAGCAGACTCAGAGCAATTCGGATGTGCCATACTAAGAAGAGATAACCAAGCCACATGGCAGAAAGTAGATTTAAAAAAAAATGAGCTAATTAAGTTTTAAGAGCTAGTTGGGAAAATTCCTAAGCTAAGGCCAAGTTTTCATAATTACATTAAAACTCTATATCGTTATTGGGGAGCTGGAGGTCCCACAAAAGAAATTCCAACTACATTTGAGAAAACTTGTAAAAGAGCAGGGTGGGGTGATGTCAGGAAACAGAGACAGACAGCTCCCCCAGGTCACTGACTGGCTAGCCTAGCTAAATGAGTGAGCTCCAGATCTAGTAAAAGACCATGCCTCCAAAAAGGTAAACAACTACAACAAAAACAACAAATTGACCTTCGGCCTCCACATGTGTATGAGCCCACACACCCACTCACCTATACATACCCACCATCTTCCACACACATACACACAACCCACAAATTAGAAAAAAAAATAATTAGAGGTGTTAGAGAAAGCAAGACAATGGTGCAATGAAGGGAAGGACAGTTACATAATCCCAGCTATGCTGATTTACTGAGGAGTCTGGCATAAAGCAGGTCACATACCTAGGAGGTGGTGGACAACCTACTTGGGAGAATGTTAACTGAAGGAAATGCAGTTTGCAAATGTCTGGATCATGGGACAAGGCCAAACCAGAAGAGACCTCTCATTTGACTCTCAATATTAAAAAATAAAATAAACATATAATATTTCAAAACTGGTATATTTTTCATAAAAACCCATTGTTCCAACCCCACGCTATCCTTCTGTGATGTTTGTCCTATTGGTTGATAAATAAAGTACTGTTGGCCAATAGGAAAACAAGATAGGTGGGACTAGGAGTCAAGGAGGATTCTGGGAAATGTAGTAAGCGATCCAGGCAGGAAGTGACATAGCAGGCAGACTCAGAATATAAACAGGAGATCGCTCTCTTGCTCTTCCTCTTCCTCCTGCTCTCCTCTATGGAGCCACCATGTGATCCCGGGAAGAGGACACCAGCGGAAGGTGTCCTCAATAAGTCTTGTAAAATATATAGATTTATGATAATTAAGACTGAGCTAGCGTATAAGAAAATCCTAGTCAATTGGCCAGCAGCATTGTAAACTAATAGAAGACTCTGTGTGTTATTCTGGGCCCCCATGTGGTGGCGGGGCCCAGGCAGATGGAGTAAAGACTTATTGTTACACTTCTGGGTAAAAGCCAGTGGGGATGAGGTGATCTCTCTCTCTTTTTGTGTGTGTTTTGATTTGTGTTCCTTCAATGATTGCTTTTCATCTGCTTGGTGGTATGTTAGGTATTATCCTTTGAGATATAATTATTCAGATCATTTGTGGGGATCTCCAACTTCAACTCAAAATGAGGAGGATGGACAGGCTGCAGAATAGAGAGAGGCAGGCTGGCCACCACAGGCAACCCCTTTCACCCCCCAATACAGCTGCAGTCTCCAGAGGAAGCAGCCCCTGAGGGGCAAGATAGCTCCTTCAAAGGCTGGATTGACTGTTCAAAAGAGAACACGGCTGGAAATTCAGTGTGTGTTCTAGAGTCAGGGAGGCTCAGGGGCTTGGAAATTCAGGGTGTGGGGACAAGGAAAGGGGTGTGTTAGGGTCAGGGAGGCTCAGGGGCCTCTGGTGCTTTTCAAGGGGAACAGCCAAGGTAAAAGTACAGGACTGGTAGAGAGGAAATGAGCAATGAAACTGAAAAGGGGATGTGGGGGCTGAGGAGAGGAAAAGAAACCCACTTCTGAAATAGGAAAGATGGAGGCAGACAGAAATGTCAGTGTGAGCCTGCTCCGTGCTGGAGAGGCAGGGTTGCTGGGGCAGAGCTAGAAACGCGCCACTGGCTGGGCTTGGACATAAAATGGAGCAGAGGGCAGTGTGCATGCATGAGTGGTGTGTGTGTGTGTGCTGGGGTATCCTGGGGTAGGGCAGTGATTTGGTGCTTTTGAAGTAGACCTTAAGTCATTTTGTGATAGAAGAAACCAACTTTTTCCTTAAAATTTTGCATATCTTTGTTTGAAAATGGAATTTATTCATATATCCAATATATTGTTTATGTTTAGCGGAAATTGCCTTTTACCTCATGCATCTTCTGTGCTGTTTATTACTGATTTCTTTCATTCTCTGTGTGTTTGTGTGTGTCTTATACCCCTTTCCCCTTTGAGATGTGTTTCATGAATCACACAGCTTCGAAGGAGACATCTTAGAGTATAAAATGAGGATTAAAAAATACTCACCCCCCCCACAGACACGTACTGGCTAATTGGGCAACATCCTGCATTGTGCAGGGTCTGTATTTCCTTGTTCCTCAGGTGTGTCTGGAGCTTCAGATCTAGTCACAAGATGGACATTCAGGCTGTGGACCTATCCACCTCAAAGAGTAGGTGGTGCTTATGGTGATGGCTAGCAACGGGATTCCACTTAGGTATGTAGAATATCTCATGGCACTGGCTCAATGCAGATTTACTCCCTGTTTGCTCTAGTGATCCTTTCATAAACTGACACCTGTAGTAGCTAGCCCAACCCTCTGCATGGGGGATGTTTGGGTTGCATTATAAAATTACTGGATAGGAAATGTGCATTAGTCAAGCTAGATAACAGTACCCAAAAGTCTCTGTTAGAGTGAATCCTTGAAGCAATAGATTTCATGGGTTCTTGGAAAGTAGTGGGACCAGAGTACGTATGAATTGATGGTGGGATGAAGGGGAGGGGAGAAAAGAGTAAGTGTTTCCTCTTTCTAGAGAATTTTCAATTTCATTTCAGTAAGAAACTATAGTCAAATTTCAGAATTTGTCCATATTCAATTACTGTTGTGAATTTTTGTGTAACTTTCTTTCAAAGTAGAGTCCTGCTGTTATATGAAAGAAAGACAAAAAGACCACAGGAGCCAGAAGTCAAGGAGGACTGGCACAAAACTGTCTTCAAGGCATGATAGCCTGTTGCATTTCTGTAAGAGGCTGTGGTTCCTTGCACAAGACTTGTACAAGATCAAACCAGTCATGTTCCAGCTTGGAGTACAGAAGGATTCATGAGCCCTGTGGTGGTTTGAAAGAAAATGGGCCCCAAAGGGAGTGACACTAATAGGAGGTGTGGCTTTTTTGGAGGAAGTGTATCACTGCAGGGGTGGGCTTTGAGGTCATTTTGTTCTAGCTTCCCTCAGTGTGACAGTCAGTCTACTTCCTGTTGCCTTCTGGTCAAGATGTAGCCAGCACCATTTCTGCCTGCATGCTGCCATGTGCCCCAACATGATGCTAATGGATTGAACCTCTAAAACTGTAAGCCATTACCCTAATTAAATGTTTACTTTGTAAGAGTTGTTGTGGTCATGGTGTCTCTTCACAACCATAAAAATCTAAGACAAGCCCCATCCCTATTTGATTAGCAATTGACAATTGATAGCATCTGAGAAAGGGAGGGCCAGTTTTCTTTTGTTTTTCTTTTCTTTTTAAAGGCATAGTCCCTGATCTGCTGACTATTCCCACACCAGCAAGTGAATAAGATCACATATTGGTCTTCTTAGGTTATGGAAAAGAGGAGGACATAAAGTTGTAGGTGACGTGGGAGTGAGGAGGTGGGTCTGGAAGGACGTAGGGGGTGAATATCATCAGGATACATTGTATGAATTAGTGAAGGTAGAGGAAATGGCATGTGATAGGATTTCATGCTGTTCTGAAATGTCATGTTTTCCAGACTGAGCCCTTAGCTTGGTATTGGTTAAATGAGATGCACCCAGACTGATGTGAGTGAACAGCCTGTCTTGTTTCCAAAACGTGGAGGAAATACACTCAATATTTCAGGTTTAAGTATGATGCTAGCAGTACATTTCTCAAAGATATTTTTTATCAGGCTGAGGAAGCTCATTTCTAGTCCTAGTTCACTGATAGTTTTGTAATGAGTGGACATAGGTTCTTGCTGGAAGTCTTATTGCATGGATGGAATGGTCTTCTGATTTTTCTTTTCTTGTTATTGCAGAAAATTACAGTAAATGATTTGGGTTACTCTAGCATTCCAAGGTAATTCCAATTGGTCATTGTAGTATTTAATTTTTATTGTCAACTTGAAAGGGTTTGAATTACCATGGAAACCTCTGAGTGTGTCTATGAGAGACTTTTTAGATTAGGCTAAGTGAGATGGAAGACACCCCAAATGTGGGTGGCATCATTCCATAGGCTGGGAGCCATGACTGAATAAAAAGGAAAAGAAAACCTGAGCAGTACAGCATTCATTGCTCTTTGCTTCCTAATTGTAGACACAATGTGACCAGCTGCCCCAAGTTCCTCCTGTTATGACTTCTCTGCTATGATGGTCAATACCCTCAAACTTGAGCCAAATGAAAATCATTTAAACTTTCCTTAAATGGCTTTGATACTTTTTATAAAAAACATGATTATTTTATTTTATGTGTATAGATGCTTGCCTGCAGCTATTTCTGTGTACTATGTACATGCCTAGTATTCGTTGAGGCTAGACGAGGGCACAGGATTCCCTGGAACTGGAGTTACAGATAGTTGGGAGCTGTCATGTGGGTTCTGGGAACTGAATCCCAGTCCTCTGGAAGAGTAGCCAGTGAATAACAGTTATGTTTAAAATAAAAGAAATTAGTAAGTAGTTATAGTTAGGCTTTAGTACTTAATGTTGGGCTTTGGTAAATTATAGTTTTATGATTTTTTTCATTTTATTTGAATTGTCAAACTTTTTCATGACTAATTTTTAATGTGTCCTTAACAATGGCGGCGGTGGCGGCGGGGACTACACTGATAGTTTCTCCTTAGCACCTTTAGGACAATTTAAGATTTTTATTTCTTCTCCCTATTCCATTTCCTAGGGAATTTTCAACTTTTTTGTTTGCTGGCTGCTCTTTCATGGGTTAGATTTGGGTTGGTTTTAATTTTTGTGTTAGAGATGTTCAGATGGTGTGAGGAGAACGAAAGCTCTAGCCATGATGACTAAGACTTAATAACAACCTATCTTTGAACTCCCCAGTGGCAGGGTGCTGCAGCCTACCCTCTAACAGATCACGTCTAATCTTCCATGCAGTATTGCTATTGGAGATTTCAAAAGGTTAGTCACCTTGCCTAGGGCCACCCAGCTGCCAATGGCTTACTGAGACTTTGGAGTCATGTGCTTTCTAGGAAGGACACCATATTGGCTCTCCATGGGGCTTCCAAAATTCTCAGCTCAGCTGATGGACTTGAATTCTATTGTCTCCAGGTTGTGCCTAGACTTCTAGTGTCACTCAATAATGAGCCCATCAGAAGGGTGTCCTCCTGTCCTTGGCAGAACACATCCCTTCTAACTTAGACCTCCGTCAAACACTAAAACTTTCTCAAAAGTGGTTCTATACAGATCTTACCTGGTCCCAGTGCTGATGTTGAAGATACTACGTATCTGCAGATGGGACACAAGAGCATGTTTTCCTTCTTAAAGATAATTAGCTAGTTTGCAAGCACTGATTCACTATGTAAACAGAGTTTTATTCTAATGATTTACACTTGTCTAATTCCAAAAAGCACACCAGGCAAACATAAAACATCATACATAATACCGTGCTACATGCATCATACACACCAGTTTGTCTTTAGTTAAAAAAAAAAAAATCCATGAGCTGAAAGTTATTCTTTTCCAAATCCACAAGATAGGGTGGGAGGAAGAGCAGGTTCAAACTCGTGATCTCTTCCTTTCTCCAGTACCCAAGTCTTCTCACTACACTGGCCTATGTCGTTATTATTTATATCACAGATCAAAGAAAAGAACTCACGGGCCAGTGAAACAGCTCTGTGAGTAAAAGTGTATCTGTGCGAGCCTGGTGACCCGAGTTCTATCCCTAGGACCCACATAAAGGCATTAGGAAGGAGAGAACTGACTCCACAGAGTTATCCCCTAGTCTACACATGCATGTTGTGGTATGTGTGCCTGCACATATACACACACACTCCCCCTTCCCCACATACCGAGTGCATTTTAAAAAATTGGAAAAGAATTCAAAGTGTAAGTCATGCAAAACTTGTTTATAATACAAATGTATCAGTCACCAAATTTCTCTATTATATTCGTTTTTGTTTTTTTATTAAATTTAAGTATTAAAAGTTGCTCTGAGCCAGGTGTTGGTGGCACATGCCTTTAATTCCAGCACTCAGGAGGCAGAGACAGGCAGATCTCTGTGAGTTTGAGGCCAGCCTGGTCTCCAGAGTGAGTGCCAGGATAGGCTCCAAAGCTACACAGAGAAACCCTGTCTCGAAAAACCAAAAAAAAAAAAAAAAAAAAAGAAAGAAAGAAAAAAAAGAAAAAAGAAAAAAAAAAGAAAGTTACTCTGAGTTTTCTGCTATAAAACACAAACTTATAGGGGCTGGAGAGATGGCTAAGTGGTTAAGAGCACTGACTGCTCTTCCAGAGGACAGGAGTTCAATTTCCAGCACCCACATGGCAGCTCACAACTGTCTGTACCTTCAGTTCCAGTGGACCCAACAGCCACAGCAAAACACAAATGCACGTAAAATAAAAATAAATTTAAAAATTTGTTTAAAAAATTCAGATTATAATGGCAAGCTTGATGTGTAATTTTTCATTAAATAACTATGTCACATTGTAAGTCAATAAGAATAATTAATTCAATTTCAAAATGTTTTAAATGTGGGTTTAAAGTAGGAAGAAGGCTAATGTGGCTACAAGGGTACCAAATCTCACTTAACCCTGCTGTTGTGATGGACAAGCCATAGTTGACTCTCTGAAGATAATCTCAGCAGCTCATAGAAAAAGGTCCATGTAACACACAGCTGCACTGCAACAACCACATGCTCAACTCTGACTTTGTGGTGGTGGTTTTTTTTTTTTTTTTTTTTTTTTTTTTTTCCCCATAGCAGGACTTTAAGGTCTTTGCAAGTGGAAACCCCTCATCCAGTTCTCTGTGATCTTTGCAGGGAACTTAGCGGGATCAAGCCCATTGACTAGATACCAAATAGTGATAGACAGCTCAAAGTGCTTTGGGACCACAAGGGGAGACAGCCAGGAGTAAACACAGGAGAAAATGAAGATGATATAGGCGCCTGACAGGAGACACTAGTTGTGCAAGAAGGAAGTAAGCTTGCAGGACTCAGACGCTCAGCTGGAGAAATTTCAGCACATTCCACCTTTTGGTTTGCCTCCCTCCCCCATGCACAGGGCACAAGGGGTATTAGGAAGGTTCTAAAGCAGTGGTGACCCATTCTGACTCCAGGTTGAGGTGGATATTCTGGAAGGTATTTGTTTTTGTTTTTCGAAACACCAGACAGGCTGTCTCCTGAGACCTGCCCCAAAATGGAACTTGGAGGAGAATCAACTGGCCTTGGTTCAAACCAGACAAACTGTAACAATGCTACTAGCTGGGGAAGGGACCTCAAGACCCACAAGAAATGCTTACTTCCGTTCAGCCTGTGGTATATAAGCATTTAGCTGAATCAGCAGGCTGTGTGAGACTGTATGGGTCCCTCATGACTTAGAACATAAATATAATGTCTTTTATGGGGATGAGGGAAAGGTAAAACATTTTAAAAGAACAAAATTAAGTGTTACTACAAGCCATGTGGACATGTCATACACCACAGGTGACCATGACAGAAGTGTATTCACAATCTAGAAGACCTTCAGGCTTTAGCAAATTAGTTATACTCATAAAAAAAAAAATCTCAAGGATGCTGACATTTGCTGTACTCTGCACTCAAGTAGGTAGGAAGACGTTTCCAAAGGTTGAAATATTGGAGGGAGGGAAGGGTTGACAAGGATGAGGCTCATGCTGGTGGACATTCTCAAAGCAGGTATGTTAAAGCAGATGGCAGTCACTGTGGTCCTTTGGACATGCTCCCTAGTCTCGTAGTTCAGACTTCTGTCTGGGTATGGGCAATAAGCGTTTGACTCACGCCCACTGGTCAGGTTAATTGAATTGCTTCTTTGTCTCTCTCTGCCACAGTTTCTGGTTCTTTCTCTGTATCTCCATCTGTTTTTCTCTGTGCAGTGTTCTTTCACATGAGTTTCTATGAGCAAAGCTACTTTCTTAGTGAAAAGCAAACAGCACAACCTGGATGCTGGGTCAACATGCTCTGGAATGCAGGATCGTTTGTCACCAGTCAGTCACCTGACACTGGGCTTGCAGGGTGTTTAACCAAACCAAAACAATGAGTATGTT